GGGGGGGGGTGAGTGCAAGTGCAAACGGAGGTGACGAGAAGTGTGTTCTCCGCGTAAGGCATTGATGGGCAGAAAGGACGGAGGCGGTGGAAGGCTGGGAGGGTTACGGGGTACGAGGGCCGGGAAGTGGCAGCTGTTGAGTGGGCGTTGAGTGGGCGGAGGATGGCGGGAGGGAGACTGCGGGGTGGTCGAATAATCAAGGGGCTCCAGAGAGTCGAATTCGCATCGGTGTTTGGAGATCGAGAGAGGAGCGCGAAAGATTCGCCCTATCTAACCAAACGTTGCCGTGTCAAACTTGTTGGAACCTTGCGTTTGTCAGTATGCGGCGAACGTGGCCACCGATCCCTGTTGCCAAACGATCATGACGGCCCTTCTGTTCGTGGTCAACAGGCCATACCTCGTCGGCATCGTACCGGTAAGCGCAAAAGGAGAGACCATGAGGCGAGCTAGCAGGATTGCCGCAGATTGTGCCCTGACCAACAGGGGACGCTTGCTTGTTGTGGTACGATTTGGTTTCATTCCGTGCTCCCTCGTGCAGCGCATGAGGGGTCTCTCGCTTTGAGGGGAGAGCAAGGCGTAGAGCGTTTGTCGAGTAGTGTTTTTCCTGGTTCTCTCACCGCATACCTCAGGATCTCGCCGCCTCGTTTGGAAAGATGATGACAAAAGCGCCTTTTGGAGTTGAGGGGGTTCGCTTACAACGGCATCGGGTTGCATCAGCAGCCGTCCCCGCGTCTAGCTTTTGTGCCCCCAGAAAGCTGCCGGATGGTGCTTTCGTAGCCTCCCCCTCCACCTCGGTGTTTGCCATCGGAATTGGGTTTTCGTCGCTTGGCAACGACGTTGTAAAACAAGCCAATTCACTCCGTGAACTCGGCAACCAGGTTACCGTTTTTTTTTTCACCTTTGTTTCTTTTTCTTCGCGGTAACCATAATGGTGATCGAGTAGCTCATGTTGTGCGGGGTCGAGAACCCTCTCTCCGCGCAAGGGGGATGATCGCACCACGTTGTGTTGAAATGGTCAAGCACCCTCGAGGCAGTTACACAGTGCTTACAACTGTCTCTGGAAGTGAAAGCACCAGAAAATAAATTAAGTCATACGCAGCTGTCATCCGTACGCAAGGAAGTAAGCACAAGATGCCGAACACCCTTAGCAGGATGCAGCGCACCCTTCATGCGACTCGCCGAATATCTCATGGCGCTTCGCGCTTGGGGATGTGAGAGCCTGGTCCGGTGAGAACCCGGCGTGCTCCGTCCCGGCTTTGTAGGGATGCGAGGTCAATGGTCTAACGACTACGGCATGCACGACTATTTATATGAGTACACCCCCCCCCCTCCCGTCACTTGCTACGGCCTTACTGCTGACCGTCCTTTGCCCCTTGAGGTGACTCAGTATGATAGCAGTGATGGATGTCTTGTTCCCCCCCGCCCCCCCCCCTGAGCGGTCTAAGGACTACGGCATGGAAAGCTATGAGTACACCAACGCCCCCACGCCCTCCACCCCTCCCCGTCTGTCTGTTCATATTTCGTCCGCTCGCTGCAAAAGATGGTTCTGCTAGAATTAACGGACTTCCTGTGGTTCCTGAGCGGTCTGCTCCAGATGTCGCCGGGGGCGTTTTTCGAGAAGCTCAACCGGGGCGTGGACATGTTCGGAGGGGCGCTGTTCGGCGTCCCGAACTGGGGCAGTCGGAGGTAAGACAACGGCAGCATTCGCACAGAAGCAGCGGAAAACATCGCTTCCAAGAAAGGATGCGATTGAAACGAACTACCGTGAGTCGACGCACACGCCTTCGACCTACTATCAGAGCGCCGCAAAGAAAGAGGTCGCGGGTGTCAAGAAGAGTTGTTTGGCGAAAGATCTCGTCCAGACCTAGCCTTGCACACGTCTCTCGGTTGCGAATTTTTTACACCCTCTCGGTTGCGAGAGCATTGGAGCGATGAATCACCATCGGTCGTGTGGTGCATGACTACTCGCACCTGCGCGGGACTGCTCTTGCTTCGTTTGGATGGGGTTGATTATTTGTGGCATGCTGAGCCTGGAGCTCGATGTATTGGGAGGACGAGCTGCATGACTCGCGAGTATGTACGTTTTCACCGCCACAGATCAGGCCAAGAGTGCGCACTTTCTCGGAAATGCCATTGTCGTTGTTGCTGTTGTATACCATTGTCGCTGTTGCTGTTGTTGCAAGCACCCCGCGTATGCGATCAAGAAATGCCTCGTAGCATTGAATTCGTTATTCCAACGATGTGAAATTGGCAGTTGTTGACAGCATCATCGACGTCCCCTGGTATGATACAACTCGTGTTTGGTGTCTCGTGTTCGCGGTGTTGCCTTGTTGGTCGCATGGGATGGATTCATACTGCCTTTGCTGGCAAACATGCTGTCGCCGCATATCATTCCCCACTTTTTTGGTGGTGTAGCGTGCCGGACCGGTGGTCAGCGGCAAAGAGCAAGGTTAGCGAGTGGGGTGCCTGGATTGAGGTCATGTTCGGCATGATCCTCGTGGCGGAGTTGCTGCTCCCCCGCAGGTATGTCTCATGCTGTAGTCATGCTCGATGTTGCTGCCCTTTTTTCTTGTTGGTAATGTTCGTGTTGGTGATGGCGTCTTTGTTATTACCTCGGAGATCGCACGACAACACTGCCATGCCGCGAACGGAGTGTTTCCACCACCCCGCCGTAGAAACACTCAGGATGCTACTTTTCAAGACACGACTCCCGTGGTCGCAGGCAAAGAAAATCAGAAAACGGTAGCTATGCAAGGGCTTGGGAAACACCCGTAAAATGCTGGTCCAGCAGCAGCACATCAACCCAAATCGTTGCTTCGTGTGCAGGTTGCGGATGTATTATGGCGAGCACCGTTTATTACGCGTGTTTGTATCTGTGGTGTTTTTGCTGTTTTTTCAGCTGTGGATCCTTGGACGTTTTTCTTCCATCTTGTCGTGAGCGTTTTTCGGCAGACTTGTTTTCGTGGTACTCCCATCGACCTGGCCGATGTTGTCTCTGTTTTGGTGCATGTTGTTTGGTTTGTTTGGGAGGCTAGGAACCTGCTATCCGTAGAACGTGACTAGCAAATGCGTTTGATGAGTGTTTGGAGACACGTTGTAGTGTTTTTGCTTGCTCTTGGCGAGGAATGTTTTCTGGATGTTTTCCCATGTTGTGTCCAACGTTTCGGTGTATCGTTGCACGAAACAGCCCCCCCACCCCGCCACCCCCACCCACGGTCAGGAATTTCGTGATGCTGGGCCTATACTGGCAAACTCTGCGCATGAAGTACATGATCAACGCTGCCACGGGAAGGGGGTACACGCAGGTGAGACGCGGGCCCCTTTCATTAGATCCTGTGACGCAACTCCTTGGGCATGGGCATTGAAGCCAGAAAAGGAGTCGCCTGTAGTGGTTATGGTTGTTGATGCTGTTGCCTTCGGCCGAAGCCAGCCCCGAGCTCAGCAGCAGGGCACCGTTCGAGCGACAATTCGTTAACATTGCTTTATATACATTATCCACCCCGGATCCGACTGCCTGCTGAGGTGGCGACAATGGCCGAAGCCAGCCCCAAGCTCAGCAGCAGGGCACCGTTCGGGGCTGGCTCACATTAAAACCCGTTCCGGCCTCCACTCAGTACCTTGTAACATCCGTACCGGTCCAACTGACGCGGATGCCTTCCGTGGTCGAAGGCAAACCACCAAAAAAGGGTGCACACTTTCTGGAGTCAACGAATCGAATCAAACAACGGCAGTAAAACATGGATTCAGAAAACCCTTACACGCTTAACACAGCGGTTGGGATATTTTACCGACAGCGGAAACTTTTGTTGTTTGGCCCGGAGTGTAAGCAAGCGTAGTTGTTTGCGAAGGACCTCCTTCGCGAGAAATTAAGTGATAGAGCTGTCTTTGTCCCGAGGGCGCGCGTTCCGCGATGCCGTCGGCCAGACGCAGCAGCAGCGTCACCGCCTCGTCATGGGCCGAGCCCGTGCGATCCATGTAGGATCAGCTGCATAGTGCAATGCACGACGATTCGCTGCCGTAGCACCTCCTGAAGGAGAAACAAAAAAAACAGCGTATGAGGTGTCGGGCGATACCTGCCACGGGATATGCCGGCATGCTGACCAATCACACCACGCCGACTGGTGCGATTTGACCCGTTTCGCCCCGTTCTTTTCTACGGTTCGTGGCCCGATTCGGTTCTCCTGTCTCTCTTCCTTTTACAGGCGGCGTTCCGCACGCTGGACGCGCGCATCAAGGTGGTGACGACCAAGCGCAGATGCCCACCAGTGGTCGGTGAGATTTCGTTCTTGTTCGGTTGCTGTAGGCGGTGCTATTCGCGTCAAGAAATATCCCTGCATATCTGTTCTCAACACGTGCACGGCGCACTCATCCTGCTACCGATTGAGACAAATCCCGTCGTCACAAGGCAAGGTTTAGTATGTGATACCTGGTAATCGCTTGGTACAGTGTAGACGTACACCTTGTTGTGGTCTCTTATTGTGGGAAAACCCACGCGGAATTGGATGCGCACGACGTACATGTCAAAAGGTGTTTGGTACCCAACCACGTGTATACGTCTCTCATCTTGTCACATTCACCTGTCCCATTTCGCCTCCGTCAAATCGTAGTGAAGGCTAGAGACCTTGATTTTGCAAAACATAACAGATTGCTGCTGATACGTGAGTGATACGGACAGTGAACGGTGCTGTAGGCACGTTACGAGTCGTCGAAAATCTCCCCTACCCACGCGCAACGCTGGCTCATAAAGCTCCCTTTGGAAACACAGCGTCGGCCGACGAAAGCACGGCATGTCGCCCTTACCACGGCATTGTGGGAACGCGACGCCAACTGTCTGACGACTGTCATGTGGTAGCCATGAGCACACCCACACACCTAAGCGGGTGTGGTTGGTTTTCTTGACCCTCCACCCTCCACCTCTCTCCCTTCGTTTTGCTTCACGCACATTGGGGATTTAATTTAATTTACCTGTGCAGGTTCCATGTACGCAAAGCTCAAGACGCTTCTGGCCAAGATGGTTATGCCGCCGCAGCAGCCGGGGGCTGCCGGCGAAGCGTCGCCAGGGGGATCTCGGTGTTCCATCATGTAGTCAGCCTCGCGTCCAAGCCAAGTGCTTTACCATTTTGTAATCGTGGTGATGTCAAGTCAAGTGACGTTGTCATTGCGTGGCGAGTGATGTCACATCGAGTCATACATTCGTGGTCGGAGTGGCGTTGTGACGCGGGACGGTGTGTGCGAACTCGGGTCTACCCAACCGACGCAAACGAACGAGATATGCCTTGCACCGGTTCAATTGCTACCTTGAGTTTGGTGTACAATAGGCAGAGGGCGGCTCCGGCCTCAACTGAAGCTCTCTCTTTCTCGCCGGCAGCTTTGCACGAAAAAAAAGACGACATTGGAAATATCTCCTTGACTGCGCGTGACTTGCACCGAGTCAAGTGCTTGGGTTGTTGAGTTGGATGCAAGGCGAGCGGTGCGCATGCGTCATTGTAGACAGGAGTGGAAAGAACGCGGCACTGAGTGCTAGGTCCCGCCAAGTGTTCCGCACGCGTGTCAAATGATGCACCGTTGGGTGCCGTTCCATCGATAATCAAGTCGATTGGGATTGGGACAACGGAGGAGTTTTTTGGGTTCATGGAGGTGGCATGCTGGCGGGTTGCTGGCGGGTGCACCCGCATGCACTCGCTCTCCTTTGTCCCCACAGCTACTGTATGTAGCCTGTGCTGCAACAACTCACCTCCTGCGGACGGAGAGTTGTCGGTAGAGATGTCACGAGCAAGCAGCGAGAGTGGCACGGTACACGAAAGGGGGGGGGGGGTTGGGGTGCAGGGTCAAGATGCAGGATGGGCATGCCTCGCATCTACTTCGATTCATCGAACACGACGTAGTCAGTCCTTTTTCGGCAATTGGGGGTACAACCGCGGTGCGAAACGAAATACTGTAGTCAGTGGGTTGTGGTATAGACTTGTCCGGCTTGTGGTATGTCTCGTATCGTCTTGGGTGTTGGATGAGTTTTTGTTGCTGTACGTAATGTGTGTGATGGGATCGGCAAGATCCGAGACCGCGGGATCTGTGCATGGAATATTGTTTCACCGGACAAGGAGGGATATGAGGGCATGGCGAGGCGCGACAAGTTATAATGCCGCCGGCGGTGTCTGTTTGTTCGGGGCGCCAGGTTATCCCAGGAAAAGCCGATGAAGAAAAGAAACGTAACTTATGCATGCGCCGGGCGTGGAAATCTCCCTTGCTATATATTATCTCTCTCTCTCTCTCTCTCTCTCTCTCTCTCTCTCTCTCTCTCTCCCTCAAGGGTCCTATGGATACTCACACACACGTAACCCCCCGAGGGACACAGATCTCGGACTCATATCCAAAGTACCGCAAAGCAGCTGTATCCTGAAGTCGAGACAGCATAGGGATATATGATGCACACCCTTCTGGGGGGGAGGTCATGGAATTCTGAACGAACCGGTGGTCGATTGCAAAGTGATCGTTCAAGGACAGATCAGATCGATCAAACGGCGTGCGTTGAGCAAGGCTGCACTCTGTACGACGTGGTGTGCACAGGGTTATACAGTGTTCACCATGCATACCTATTTATCTTCTCTGATGCTTGTATGCAGAGTCTATGGGGCAGATAGATGTCCTTTCCAGAACGAATGAACTGCCTACTACAGATGGCGCCCGCACTTAGGAACCTCTAATTTCGGCCGAGGCTGGGGTTCTTATTTTGCTGATCATCCTCTTGTGGGCTACAAATGGCCGCTATATAGGTTGTAGTGTAGGGTTCTTAACCGAGCTCACTAATGGTGCTCAAGTTCTTATAGCTTCTGATTTTTTTCGAGTCTCAATTTCTTAACTGCCAAGTGCGGGCGCCATCTGTACTGCTGCTGTTGTTACCAAAACGGGAACACAAACCGGCGGGTACATGATGAGCACGTGAAGCACGCTTCAACATAGCCTACATGTGATCACCCTTTCCTGCGTGCGCCAGTTAGAGCAGGGACAATGCACACCGGAGCCGATACGACTAAGCAAGATCCTCACTGCCGTACCATCCTTACCGGCCGTGGTTTGTGTGTGTGCACGCATGTAAGATCTTGAGCACAGACAGGGAGCGAGTTGTGGGGAGCGAAACAATCAAGCCAACCCATCAACCTTCACTACTGTAGTTCCGGCGCATTTTGTTGGAAGGGACGCGATGTGCGATCTGCGATGTGCGATCCGCTGATAGGTAAACTCGCTTGTTCGCCATATCGTACCGAGGCATACGGTACTACCCGCGTACGATGTGTTACGATTTAGTCTACATGTGTGATTTCAACACCCAGCGACTACTGCACGAACACCCACTACACGCATACCCGCTGGTCGTTTGGTCAACCGTGTAAGCAGTAGTAGTACTTCAATGTACGTATGCGAGGTTGAGATGGATATGAGATATGGCGTGGTGTTGGTGTTTGGTGGTTGTGGTTTTTAGTGATGAGTGTGGTCAAGTATGAATGAGAGACCCAATCGGTGAGACTGCTGTGGACCCGTAGTGGTGCCAGCCAAACTCTCAATTATTCAGGACTCAAGACCGACCACCGACCAAGCTGAGAAAGAGACCCAATCGATGAGACTGTTGACCCCTAACGGTGCCATCCAAGCTCTTCTCAGTTCAAGGCCTTGTCTTCGTCGACCGTGCTCAGGTTGGTTTCTATACTCCCGTCGGCGTGAACTCACCAATTTGGTCTGTGCCAAACATGCAAGATATAAATATGCAATTGAGTCTACTAAAGGTTGTTGTTGTTGTTGTTGTTGTTGTTGTTGTTGTTGTTGTTGTTTTGTTGTTAGTGGCGATGAGTGTGGTCAATAATGAATGAGAGACCCAATCGGTGAGACTGTTGACCCGTCGTGGTGCCAGCCAAACTCTCAATCATTCAAGACCGACCACCGACCAAGCTGAGAGACCCAATCGATGAGACTTTTGACCCCTAACGGTGCCAGCCAAGCAAGGTCTTGTCTTCGTCGACCGCGCTCAGGTTGGTTCCTATACTCCCGTCGGCGTGAACTCACCCATTCGGTCTGCGCCAAACATGCATATGTGACCACACCCTGGACAATACACAATACAGTCAATGCATATCGATACGTTTATCGTAATACGCCACGTACTGGTGGCTGTAATACGCATTGATATGTTTTCTTGCGAGGGTAGCGTTCGGGGAATATGCATCGATTGGCAGTTGGTGAATCTACCTCTGGCTCAATTACGGTAGCATTTGAAAAAAAACATACTGCAACGACCAATCGGTATTGCTCCACATACATGTTGGAAAGTGCTGCACGGGTCAACATGATGCAATACATCGATCGACGGAAAAGCATTTGGTTCTCACGATGATATGTATCGATGAGATGTTCAATGATGTGTTGCTCTTTGCAATGCATATCAATAGAAACAACTTGTAGTGTACTGTATATCATTGTATTGTATCTGGTATGCAGTATGTATCTGTGGGTATGACCCGGTACGTACCCACTGTCGCTCCCCCAAAGTGT